ATGTCATTATGTTGTGGAAATATTAAGAAATATGTGGACATTTTGAACCATGGTCTGAATCAGCTGCTTTTTGCAAATGCTATTTATTTAACCTCTTTTAATAAGGGTGATCATTTCCAGACTAACCCAGCCTGGCCTGCAAATTTCCAGATCTCTCTCTCCCTCTCTCTCTCTCTCTATATCTATCTATCTATATATATGTGTGTGTGTTTTATTTTATATAATTGTATTATATTTTATATAAATTATAGCATATATTATATGTTATAGAATATAAATATTAAATATTACATATTAAATCTAATGTTTTTAGTGGCATAGGCCCAAAGCCCAGTCATTATAATGTGAGAAGTGGCATGGGCCATCTGAAGTTGAAATAAGTTTACTTATAACCACCTCAGAAGCCCCCACAGTTTCTAACTCTTTCCGATCCTAGTTAGAAAAAAAAAACCCACTCTAAACCTGTCATAGTTTCAAAACCTCTTGTTCTGGTGGAATCTCCCTCTGCAACAGGTTCTCAAGGCGCTGCAATCGTTGTCTAGACTTGCAATTTAGGCATATTGAAATGATCTATGAACACATTTTTTTGTTCTTACTGCTCATGCTTCCTCTTGAAGTCCTAAAATCAAACACCTACTTGTAGATTCAGAAATAAAGGCCCCACCTTTTGTGATATGCTAGCAACAGTTTGCCTTGGTAGCTGATTTGTGGTTGAAAGTTTCTCACAATCAATAAAATTAACTGTTTCCATTCAAAATGGAATTGCAGTTGAAAGCAGCAAGTTTCTGTAAGAAAATACCAACATTGTCAAGCATGTAAGTACTTTGAACCTAAATGAAACTTATATCAATCCATACAATGCAGAACTAAGGGCCCTTGTGGCAGGTCTAGAGGCAGCTTCAACCCAGAATGTAGCTATGGTCGCAGTATATAGTGACTCCAAGCAACTGGAATCCTTTTTGCAGAACCCGAGTCATTCCCACTAAATAGATAGAACGCCTTCATCAATCGAAGATCATCGAGCTGTTAAAGAAGTTCACCAAAGTCTTTTTTGTTTTTGTAAATAGAGAAAAGAACCAGGCTGCTCACTCTAGCTGAAACTCTCGTGTAATCTTTAACTATCAGTAGTAATGGCTGCCTCATTATTATTAAAACAATGCAGAGAAATAGACAGAACAGTTTCATGCTTTTATGTGTCATTTCATGCTCTATAACAAGCATTTTTGTCCCATAAATTTCAATTGATCTTTAGGAATATTGGTAGGATTCTGTTGCAGTATGTCATCTGGTATTGGCTTAGTATGAGCTTTCTGGTAGAGTTCCCTTGGAAGTTGCAAAACTGCTTTTATATTTGTTATGATTTCAGATGGAATAAAACAAAGGTGGAAGCAAAGTACAATGAGATTGGGGATATGTGTGAAAGGAGAGAACTTGAACCTGAAGAAGCCTATCAAATATATATTCACGGAGTTTGAGGATAAGATGGTTCTGGAATGTGCTAAATAATGGAGGCAGGACTCCCACAGTTCGATGAGACCTCTGTGCCAGACAAGAAAAAGGACCTTGATGACCCACCTGGTGAGGGGCCGATTTTGAGGTGGCAAACAAGGGTTGTCTTTTCTCCTGGTGGTGATGCGTGGCACCCCAAGAACAGGAAACTCATGTAACTGTGAAAGAACTCGGACTTTCATAGCATGCATTCTGCCGGTTAAGAGAATTGGTTGGAAACGTGATCATCCTGGAAAAGATGAACTTACAATAACCAGCGAGAGGCAAGTTAAAATGCAATTTTTACCTTTATCTTCTGGCCTGTTTATTTTCCGGCCAGGGAATGACTTACATTGTGTTTGGATAAGCATTTGCTTTTGTGTGTTTTTTTTTTTTTTTTTTAAAGAACAAAAGCAATAAGCTGTTTTTGCGTTCTCTTCTTTTTCTTCTTCTTTTCATGGGGTTACACAACAGGGGTGGTTCATCCCCCAAACCCATGACCCCCAACCCTGGTCCAGGCAGGATTCAATCAATCTCAAGTCTTCGTTACAACTAGCGGGAGATTTTACCAACCGGCCAGTTGGCACCTTGCGCTGTTTTTGTGCTTTTACTATATGCTTTTACAGTTTGGTAAATATTGTTTTCAAAACAAGCTTTTTGAAAGTAAAAGCACAAATAAGTGTTTTTATGCTAGCGGGACTCGTGCATATTTGTTTAGTGAAAGCTAAAAAATAGATTGTTTTACCACATGTGACATAAATTCTTTGTATCGACCTTTTTTTTTTTGAAATTTGTAATATAGAAATGACTTGTCTTGCTCATCTTGCCACATGGCAGATCCACATGTCTTGGAAGTCTTTATACTTTTTAAGATGTCACATGGCATTAAATTGGACATGCCATGTGGTGCACAGAAGGGCTGTAAAAAGCAATCATAGTTATGCCATGTGGCACAAATTAATGTCACAACTCACAAATTTTGCCATGTGGCATACCGATTATTAATTCTTTCCATATGGTAGACCCAGAACCGTCCCAATTATTAATCAGGTGGACAATCGTGTCTGACCTGATTATACTTGGGATCTATAATTGTCTATGATAATAATAACTTAAACTTTATTTTTAATAATATAACCATAATATAAAAATGACAGTAAAAGAGTAAACTGCTTATATGTTGCTGAAACAAGTATTTTTAACCTAGATTATCTTATATTACCACCCATGACATTTACCCTTTTGGATATGACAAAATATAACAAAAAATACAAGAAAACCGCGAGACCTTTATATGCTATTAACTGCATAATTGTTTTGGGTCTGAATCGGTTTGGAATAGCAAGAGTCGATCCCAACCCAATTATTAATCAAGACAAAATTACAGAATCAGAACTGACATAATCAGTTTGGCCAGTTCAGTTCTGTTAGGAAGACCTGACAAATTGACAGTCCTAGTCATATATTTTGTCATGTGACAAATTTTGCCACACATCATATTATATATATATTCTGTTATGTGTTATATATTTATGGACATAAACGTGGTATATATTTTGCCATGTGGCATATATTTGCCACATTTGCACCTTTCATGTTTGTATCACATGTGGTAAAGCTGCATATGATTATGCCTTACTGTGTTTTGTGAAAAGTATATTTGGCTGAAAGCATGCAGCTGAAGCACGAAGTAGCCTAGTATTTGCTTCATGCTTTTTGTTCTGGTTAGGCTTTTTGTTCTGGTTAGCCTAGTATTTTGCTGCCTGAAGCACAAAATTATATTCAAAAAAGCTTATCCAAACACCATCTTAGATCATCATCATCATCATCCATGCCTTATAGCAACTATATGGGGTTGAAATGCCATCTTAGATAATTAATCCAAATTTTTTTAGCTATTTGTTTTACCCCTAAAATTCAGTGATGATGACTGTGGAGATGAAAGATGAAATTGTGAAACCCTACTTACCACTTAAAACTAGAAAGTGTTATTGAGCTAATGATTTTGTACTTTGTTTCATGTCCTCTTTTTGCCTTTCCTGCATTTGCACTGAGACATGTTGAAAGGTTTCCTGTTGACTGGTTTATTTTTTTATTTATTTGTTTTTGTTTACATTAATCTTGATCGCCTACAATTTTTCGTAATGTGAAAAAGGAAATAAGAACAAGAAACAAGAATAGGAAGTGGAGTGCTTGTGCCAGATGTTGTTGCTTACTTTGGTTCTCTCTTTCGAGGTAGATGTATATTTATTGTTGCTTCTCCTTTCTACTATTCTTTGGGTGTCACTAATGGGGACAAGGCACCTGGCTTACCATTTTAATATGTATATTTGTTTTTTTCAGGTTTGAGCATCGGGAAGATAATAGAAATTAGAAAGGATTGTTTAAGGACTCTAATTGCCCTGATTGAGGAAGCTGCAAAAGCAGATAAGCTGGTGGAGACTCCAGCTCCTTCTGTCAAGGAAAGCCTCGGAGCCAATTCAGAGTTTATGCAGAGGTGAAGAGACAAAATAATGAGATTGCGTGAATCTCAGTCTGCGCTACCTTCAGGACAGTTCGATTTCAAATTGGAAATCTGGAGGAAAATGTATCTTCTAGGTCTCAGTTCTCACGCGAGGACAAGACATCTTCCTAACTTCGCCATAAATGGCCCTTGTTACTTTTACAAGAATTTTGAATGACGCTATCAAACGAGTTACTCATCAATTAATGTTTTATCTTTTCAATGTTCTTATATTCAGTCATCCATTACAATAGCTGATATTTTTTGCCAGTGCTGTTGCTTGGTCACTGCACAGAGCAGTTTGTTAGTTTTGGTGCTTATGAACTGTTCCCCGGGAAAGTTCACATGGTTCATGTCATTTTGTCTAATGACAGCTATGACAGTGGAACAGGGTCATAAATTATTGTTTGGCATGGATTTAAATGCTGCATTCCATTATTTTTTGGACTATTGTAGTATTTTAATAATTAAATTATGGGTATTATACTTCATGGAGTAATCTTGTTATTCCATGTTAATAAATTCTTCATTCTTCAAATGAGCCCTTTACAATGTCTTTTCAGTCTCTTCTATAATCAGAGTTTGTCGGATGCTTCTGCTTTTAAACCTAAGATGTCAATCCTTGTTTCCATGATGGGTTGCAGGATCAAAATCCACTTTTGGCAATATCAGTCGGGCCAATCCCTCTTGTGGTGCTCGTGTTATTGCATGTTGAATGCAGCAGATAAAGATAAACACTCATCAATGATTGATGATGGGTGAGGAGGTGGCTTACTCGGTGGGCGTCCATTCTGTTGGTCCTACTTGCCCCCATTGTTGAGCGCAAGCTCTGATTTATTGCCTGCTGAAAGCGATATAAATATGCACCTAGAAATGTCTCAGTACCAGTATATATGGTTTATGAGATTTTCTTACGACGCTCATACTCTGAATTTGCTGAGCCTTTTGCTTTCTTCCGATGAGTTCTCATAACTATTTTGGCTTCCATCAAGCAGAGGAGAACAATATGATTCTTGATCTGGATTTGAGTCTCGGAACTTCTCTCCATCCAGAGTCCTGCTATTTGTCAGGACCGTCAGGACATTGTAGGCAGCTATTTTCTCATGTTTACACCCATTTGCTTAGATATCTACTTTCTTGAGGTGGAATTTGGGTTATCTTTTTTTCCCTATAGGTTGAATGCTTTCTTACTTGGGTTTCGGAATATTAACATCAGGATTTTGTATAAGCTAGTTGGCTAATTCATTCAGTATATGCTATATAAACAGCTGCTCATCTCAACTAGAATCAAATAATATTGGTTTGTGTCTTTGCACGGTTATTCTCTTTTAGTTTAGCGTCTGGAAATGGTAGTACTATTAGCAGCAGCAGGTGCCAGTAATCATAACAACTGTGCTGACTAAAATCTTTGTGTGGAACAGTTGTAAGCAGTGCAGGATGTGGTGATCAATTGCAACTAAATTTGCACACAGAAAGTTCGAACTTGGGACGTCCAATGATGACGGATTGCAGCGATGAAGCGGAGGGAGTGCTCAGTAAGGAACAACAGGCTTATGTGAAGGTAAACATGGAAGGTGTTGTTGTTGGCAGGAAAGTTAGCATGCTTGACCATGCCAGTTACTTCAGCCTTGCAATTCAACTGGAATACATGTTTGGTAAGTAGTACTAATCTCAGTACATGATCCTTCCGTAGAGATAGATGATTGGAATGAAGCTTGTTTTTTTTTTTTTTTTGTTTCGTTTTTCGTTTCAGGTAGACACTGTGCATCTGGGTTGCGATTGTTTGAGGATGGTTCAAAGTTTTCTTTGTTTTATAAAGACTCAGATGAGAACTGGAGGACTGCTGGTGATGTGCCCTGGAAGTATGATATTCAGTTTCTCATTAACTAGTTTGAATTTCAGTTATTGTTTCTCGGTTTCTTTCAAAAGACTGTGTTAAGGTGGATGTAATCTTTGGGCGGATGGGAATACGAACACCTATTTCTGTATTCATATTGCCTAGAATCAGAACGTAAATGTCCTCCACAATCCAGACACTGCAATGTGAAATGGGAAATGGTAGTTGTTAGCCGTACTGGTTTAGGGTATAACTGCATAAGGGCGCCAAGATCACCGTCCATGAAGAACAATATGTGGGGTCCAGGTGGACGGTGATGGCAAGCTCAATCCAGCACGAAATTGTATGGCTAGAATTGTTTAATTTGTGGAGTTTGTACTCGTTATGTTGAATTTTCACCGCATTTGTTGACAGGAGTTTTTGATGAATCTGGACAGGGAATTTGTGGACTGTGCGAAGAGGCTGAAGATTGTACGAAAGGGTTAAATTAAGTCTCCATCTTTCTATTTTCATTGTTTTTTTTTTGAAGGCATATTTTCATTGTATTGAAAAGAAAAAAAATCCTCCTGTCGTATATGAAACCATCATGTTTATGTCCGTCACTTAATATGATTAATATATCAAGTTATGTTAAAATCTCTCTTTCTCTCTCTCCAAGACAAATTAAAGATTTTAAATTTTGAAAGTTTCAACCATTTGGGGCTATCATACGTACTGTTGCCTAATTCTTGTTTGACAGTTTGTTCGTATCCTTTAATAACAAATCAAATCTGATTTCAGTTCCTAATAAAAAAAAGGAGAAATCTATGATACCGAAACCATAAATGCTTTGCCAATTACAATCTCCTGTGAATTTAGTAGTTTTGTTTTTCTGGCTTTATAGTGGAATCCAAAAAAAATATCCACGTAAAAATTCAAGACATTGCGTTGATGCGGGTGCCATTCTACTTGTAAAATGGGTACTTCAACTTCACAACGGACTGTGTGCCTTTGTGTTGGAAAGGTGAATTATTAATAATATTTTAATTCCTCATGAAATGATCAATAAGAATAAAGGAAGAAAAGGGGTCATGAGTTGCAAAAAAGCATATGGCTGGTTGGAATGGATTCATAGAAAAAACCTTAGAAAATTTTGAATTTGATGGCAAATGGATCAAGTGAGTAATTGAATGTATAACCACGGTCTTTTATCAAGTACTTCTAAATGGATCCCCAACTTCAAGTTTTAAACCAACAAGCGGTATAAGATAAGGAGATCCCTTATCTTTGTACATTTTTGTTCTTTGCAATGAAATGTTGAGCAAAAGGATTAGTGAAGGAAGTGGAAATTCAAGGGAATCTCTTGGTTTCCAAGCTTCTAAAACATTCCTCTCTTGCAATTTGTAGATGATTGTTTAATTTTTATCGCAATAAATTTATCAAATGCAACCAAAATTAAAGAGATCATGGAAGAGTTTACTAAACTTCTGGGCAAAAGCCTAATTTTAATAAATCATCTTTGATGCTTTCAAAAAAATATTCATAGGAAGCTCCAAAATGAAGTGTTATTAGCTCGTAATAATTAATGAAGTGTTTTGTATTTGTACGTACGTAGTATGCAAAGGTGTTTGGTGTTGAGTCAATATGGCGGAAGCTTGGGTAGCAATGGAAACTCATCAAATTGCAGATTGTCATTGACATTGGTGGTGTTATGGGACATGAAGATCCTCCTTGGATTATGTCGGATCCATTAATTATTGACGATTGTTACGAGATATGTAGATTAAGCGCCCTTCTATCATACTATCAACTGTGCTACGAATTGGTGTCATTCTAGGCTGTTATATGTTTCAAATTAAGTTCAAGGACTGAAACTATAGTCTTCTATATATGTTTGAGTGATCATGTGTGGGGTAAGTGTACCATGATACCATCCGTTTGTATTGCGTTCTCTCTTACTTATATCAAAACAAAAAAGAAACTGTTTATTTTATTTTATTTTTTCTTTCATTTTAATACTATTTCTCCTAATGGTGTATGAGGGTACTTGGGATCTGCTGCTTGCAATGCCGTGTATATATATATGCTCATACTAAGGTGCCTAGATCTCTAGGAAAATCACCTTACAAACATGGCATGTTGTACATTGGGAAAATCTTCTACATTTCTATATTATATAATTATTAAATTTATGTAGGAGCTATTCCTCATCTGTGGCTAAATGTCATGCATAATTTTTGCTTTTAGGAAATGCTGTTTTTATATTAAGGGGGGATCTGGATTTATTATTGCTGAAGCATTTCAATTGAGAGAAAACATTGATTTTCTATGCTCTAAGAGCTTGTGCTGTCCACTAGTGGTGTCAATTGGATTGGATTTGGTCCAATCCGATCCGGTCCAATGTGAGTTCATTATAAATGGATCAGGTTCAATCCAATTCAATGAATGTTTTGGACCAATTTGGACTGGCCCAATTCAATGTCTGAACCATTCAATTTGTTCAAAACTCATTTTGATTTAGATTGGTTTCAACCCAAACCCGGCCCATTGACATATATTCTTATCTTATATCAATGGATCAGATATTGGTTTAATCCAACCCAATCCAATATAAATTTGTTATGGATGGACTAGGTCCAATCCAATCTAATAAAAATGTTGAACTGGATTGATCCAATCCAATGTCTTACTGATCCATCCAAATAGATTTTGAACTGGCAGGTTCAGTCCAAAACCGGTCCATTGGCACCCTTGCTGTCAATAGGCTCTCCACATGACATGTTATTTTTATATGGCCATTAGACTTGTTCATAGGCCAGGCTGGGCTTTCACTCCTCATTAATAGAATTTTTTCAGATCCGAGCCCGACCAACGGGCCTACAACTTGAGCCCGAGAACAGTCCTCTTAAAAAGCCCGAAGCCCAACCTAACAATGAACTGTTAAAACAGTTGGGCTCAGGCTTCTAGATCTGAGGTCAAACCCATGGGCTAAAAACTATGCATAAGCCCATCTAGGAGTCGGGCCGGATCATCAGGTTAATAGGCCCATGAACAGGTCTAACGGCCATGTACCTATGAACTGTCATTCAGGAGAACATTGTGGACAGCTGCAGACTGTCTAATATAGCCAAAGTTTACTCCGTTTGTTCATTAGAATAAATGCCAGAAATAATATCATGGGATATTGAAAACAAAAATATTGATACAATTAATGCTTGAAAGTCTTGATTCTTGAAGTGCTTTTTCAGGTCCACCTTAAGGGCTGTTTGTCAATATGCATTGTTTTGCATTTTCAAAACAAACAAAAGAAATGCCATGTCATGTCAGTAAAAAGCAGAAAAGGGTGCCTTTATTGATACAGCAGTTTGTGTTTCAAATTTCAAAATACAAAATCATGCATGTCGGCCAATACGCCCTTAATTGTTGAACTCAATATTTGTTAGGACTTGGAGTACAGAATAGAGCACTGAAATGTTTGATTGAGTCACAGTTTTACATGTTTGATTAATCCACTACTTAGTCCGTCCATTCAAACCATGAATTCATCATTCAACGTACTGCAACGTGGAGATGTTATTGGGTCGGTCACTGCCATCAGTTCAACCGTATGGTTCAACCCAAGTCTCAAAGTTCTGGTCTGGATTCACTCTATTTGTTGAATGAATGTTAGTGTTCGTATTCCATTTAAGCATACAAAAACAAGAAAAAAAAATCACTTTGGTCATAAAATATAATTAAATTATTTATTAAACATGAACACCACATAGAATAAGAAATCTAAGCGGTTCCCACAACACCTTGGCATGAAACGTTAAATTAGTGTTTCCTCTAAATATCGCTTTCACATAATCCAAGAAAAAAAAAATACAAACATATGTACTTCATCAACCCAACCAAAAATAATGTTGGTTTGGTAAAGTGCAAGTGTCTGTGATACTTATATGGCAACGAAATGACTCTATAACGATTCTGGATCTCCTGCTCACAAGAATTTTGTCCATGCCTATCCACAATATATTACACTTATGAATTAGGAACATGTCCCTCTGCATAATACTATGCAGAGGATGAGATGTTCTTCATGTATGACTGCGATAAATGTGGATAAGAGATCCGGATTCCTCTATAAGATCTATGTAACACCACGATACCAAATACCATCTATGATGATATTGCATATATAGGCCTCATAATACCTTAGGGGCCACATGCTATATGCTAATTAAAAACGTAAGAATAATTGGATTAGTGACAAGATGCACATGAGTTGATAGGCACACAAGATAGAGAGCCTTCCACATTCATTACCCATGCATGCATGTCTCCTCAACTCGAAGATGCCTTTCGACCAACTTGACATTGAATGGATTGGTGAATATCGATGGTCTCGATTTTATGTTATATGTTTTTTTTTTTTTTTTATTTCCAACTTTAGGATTTGTTTGTAAACTGATTCTGGAATTTCCAAAATTTTAGATAGAGTTAATTACTTTTTGGATGAATCCATTTGACACAGATAGGCCTTCTGTTAGCGAAATTTTTAGTAGAGATATATATAAATTCTAAATTTACCCCCTTCCCCTTTTTTCATTTTGGTGTTTATAACATAATAAAAGGACTCTGGATCTGCTCCTCACAGGCTCACACCGACCTTGCAGCATGTTCCAGCCGCACATTAAGACCATTTCAGCTCTCATACATGTATGTCAATATTATGTGAGGAGCAGATTCCAACTGAAGTCTGACGTAAGGAAATGATTCACATAACAGCTGGGTCAATTATAAGGGATAACATTGGCTGTTGGGGGCCAATAGTGTATGATGTTGAGAGCGTTTTTAGGTTAGGCACCTTCACCTATTTACGCCTATGTCTTTTTTGATCAAAATAAAATGAAGGATAATTACTAATTTACCCATTCTCATGGTAATATGACATTCCCCAAAACGCTCTCAACAGCTAAAGTTTTTCCCAATTATAGAGCTATGAATTAGGACTTAGGAGGATGGGAGCATGTTTGTGGGAGGTACAGTAGGGACAAGAGTTTTAGCTTCAATTTACGGGGTTTGAAGGAAATTAGTTTTATATAAACTTCAGTTATGTTTTTATAACAGTGAAGTACCTGTATCAGGTATCATTTGAAGATAGTAATTAAGATTGAGAAACTCCATGAGAGAACCACAATATATGAGCAATGATGGTAGCTTACAGAACGATCAATCCAAGACAAACAAACGAAGATATAAGGCCCAGATGGTTTGCGAATCCTCGGAACTAAACAACCCAATAGCCATCTACTCGCTCTCGGCCCGCCCAGATGTCCGCGTCAATTCAAACTGTCATATTGCAATGTCTATTGGCCCCTTCGATGTGGGAAACACCTTAACATAACATGTCTGCCACATTTGAGATTCTTGTTTCTTCACCCTTCACGTCTCTCAAAAATTGTACTTATTTGTTTTCAGGTAGGTAAAATGTATACCACATCTATAAGCATGTCTCCATTCATTTGTTTCACTGGGATTATTTATATTA